CAATATATATATTTCATATGATAATAGTTTTATTATGTTATCATTTTAGAAAAACTTAGAATTATTTCTTGCCTTTATAATACATTCATGTAATTGTTTAAGAGCTTATAGTTAATAATGTAATATAAATTTACATTGAATATATGTATTATTTTTTGATTATATACACATTGCGATATATGACTCATTAAATTTTGCACGCATTTCAATGTCCGCACAGCATGTATAAATATATATGCATATATATAGACTTTTTTGTTTATATGCCAAACTTTATATAAAAAAACAACTTGAAAATTGGTTAATATACGTATACCGCTTTTTTTACCTTTTGTTGCAATTCAATAATCATGCCACAATGTAAAGCTTTAAGTCAAGAACGTAGAGAATCTGATGCAGCATGAAAATGCAGAAAAAGGGCAACTGAAACAGCTAAACAACGCCAACTTCACCAGCAAGCTGATGCAAATGCTCACTGTCAGCTACGAACTAACAGAGCCGAAGAAAGATACTTGCACCAAAAACCAGCATGACGCTATTACTCACCTTTCGCGACAGACAACTAATCTACAACTACTTAACTTCGCACGTAACTTCTCTGAAGTTTTAAATACTAACAAGCATCCTTTTCCACACCAAATCGACATCGAAAGCAGCACTAATTGTACTCATTATAATGTCTTAAAACTGCCTATGAAAAGACCTGGAATGTGTTGCTCAAATAGTAAGGTGGTGTTAGCTGAATCTAATATACCACCACTTTTGAATCATCTTTTTTCCAGTCATAACGATATGGCAAAAAACTTCAGAAGCAAAATTCGGCTTTATAATTCTGCATTTACCTTTACTTCTACCAGCGTTAAGATCAATAACGAGCTTGCTAATGCAAGAAATGGTGTTTACACTTATTGTATACAAGGCTCTTTTTATCACAGAATTGGTTCACTACTCCTGCAACCTGGTTTTGACCCTACCTATTTACAGATGTATGTTTATGACACTCAACAGAAACTATCTTATCAAACGAATGCAATTCCTAATTCCGGTCTTAATCTTACAACTATTTAATCGTTAAATAATATGTTCGACGAAATAAATCCTTACATTATCAACTTCCGTCATATTTCAAGGCTACCTACCGAATCTATTAGAAATTTAGCTGTAATTATTTGAGCTAATATTCCTGGACTTGACTTAAGAACATATAACACACCGACTGCTTCACAGGTAGCAGCAATTTGGGTTGATGATGAAGTGCTTTCTAATGTAATTCAAAAATGTGATATTGTATTACATACAAATATGGACCAATTGATTCACATTTCCGAATTTAATGGATGCTATGACCCTCTGGTGTATCCAATTCTGTTTCCTTATTGTGAACAAGGCTGGTCTCCCCATCAAATCCCATATAGAGGTGTTTTTTTAGTACCTGACGACAACAATGTTGAAAATTCTGATCTTGATGATGAAATTAATGAAGTTTCGAATGATGATGATAACGACAATTCAGAGCTGGAAACTAACTAAACTAAAAACAATGAAAATTCTAGCATAAAGAAGCGTAGAAAATTCGTAAGCACAATGAAATTTTATGCTATAAAATTCAAATTCGACCTCAGTCCACCAATCTGCTCATACAATCGGGAAGGCTTTTCTAACAATTCATAGTTGATATGTATGTTAAAATTGAAGCGAATTGCTTAAATTTTCATCAGCAAAATCAGAATAAAATTAGGTGCAATTTATATAAAGGTCTTCAAGATGCAGTTTTGCGTGGTGATCCTAATTCACGAAATATTGGGCAGAGAATTATTCTTCCGTCAACTTTTATTGGAGGACCTTGAGATATGATTCTAAGGTACCAGGATGCAATAGCTTTATTGAAGATCGGTAGACCTGATTTGTTCATCACAATAATGTGTAATCCAAAATGGCCAGAAATTCAGGCGTTGCTACTATCAGGACAAACTGCTCAGGACTGACCAGATATTACAGGTAATTTTTCTAGCGATTAGATTTAAAATCAGTAGTTGGAGTTCAATTCAGAAATGTCATTTTTTTAAGTTAGAGAAATTTATAAATAATATTTTTACCTATTAAGAAACATATCATTAATTATTTTTAAATAACGTATAATATTTAATAATATTGTTTACGCTTTTTTTTGCTATTTGTAGCATGAATTTTCTGAGAAAAACTGAATGAATTAAAAAAAGATCTTTTTGAACGAAGCGTATTTGGACATGTTATTGCATACACATACGTAATTGAATTTTAAAAGTGAGGACTACCTCATGTGCACATATTACTTATACTCCATCCAGAAGACAAACCCCAAAGCCCCATCGATTATGATGCAATTGTCAATGCTGAAATACCTGACCAAATCATTAATCCCAGAGCATATGCAGCAGTTATTTCAAACATGATTTATGGACCATGTGGAGAGCTAAATATTAATGCATCATGTATAACTGATGATGGTACAGGACATAAGTGATGTTCCAAAGGTTTTCTTAAGCCATTTCATAATGAAACGCTCCAAAGCAAGAGCTCTTATCCTAAATATCATCGTAGACAAAATGGTAGACAAGTCGAAGTAAGAGTAGGAAATCGAGCAGTCAAATTAGATAATCGATGAATTGTTCCGCACAATATATTCCTTTGCACAAAGTACAACTGTCATATTAATGTAGAAATTTGTGGCAGCATTAAGGCCATTAAATACTTATTTAAATATGTATATAAGGGTTATGACAAAATGATAATTGAAGTCAGTGAGGAACAACAACAGCATGCTACTCAAGAATAGCCAGTTACCGTTTATAAAATTAGAAATTTTGTAGAAGCTCGTTGGGTTTCAGCCCCTGAAGTAGTTTGGAGAATTTAAAATGAACGAAATTCATCCCTCAATTACACGTTTGTAAGTTCATCTTCAAGATGAACAAAGAATTAGATTAGAGGAAAATAGGAGTTTGAACGAAGTACTTGCTTCAGAACGGAATAAGGCACAACACTTACCGAGTACTTTAAGACAAATAAAGAAGATCCAAATGCTAGGAATTTGCTTTATGCTGATTTTCTATTATATTACACTTGGAATAAAGTGACAAAAAAATGGAAGAAACGTAAGCGAGGAAGTTGTATTGGAAGAATTTATATGGTGCATCCAAGTAAAGGCAAGAAATAATTCTAAGTTTTTCTAAAATGATAACATAATAAAACTATTATCATATGAAATATATATATTG